AATAGATGGAACTGTGGACAAGGTGTAGGAACAATAACACTTTCTGTGGTATTGGCTTTGGAGCAAGGAGGGTGAAAGGTGGAGGACAAAGGATTCTGAGCGAGGTTCCACTAATTGTGCAGAGTCCACTGAAGATGACACATATGAGCACAACCCAAAGGGATTCCATGAAAGCCCAAGTTTCCTAAAGAGAAAGAGAACTTCCCGCACAGCAAGAGTAGGAAAGGATTTGGCATTGGAAACTAATTGCTCCATGTCCCTCAAATGAAGAAAAAGCTGGGCCCTGCTGAGATGTGAATTGAAATACACATACAAATGACTGAGATACTGAGTTGGAGTGAAGTGCAACTTCTTCAGTTTGACCAACCAACCAACCCAGATGTGCTGACTCTTGAAAGAGGAGAAGTGTAGGGTCAAAAGAGACTTGTTGGGGCAGAGTAAAAAAAAGGTCATCCATATAATGGTGAAACTGCAGTCCCTGACCATGAATGTGATCAGCAAAAGCCTTGAATACCTGACAAAACATGTACAGGGCTGAAGGTAGACCAAAAGGGAGAACACGGAATTGAAACACTTGACCTCGATGAACAAACCAAAGCTAATGCCTGGAAGCAGGGGAAATGGGAGTGTGAAGGTAAGTATCAGAGACATCGACCTTGGTCATCCAAAGACTTGAAGTGAAGGACCATCTGAAGGTGAGAAAGGACTCCATGGTAAAATGAGAGAGATCAATGAATCGATTGAGAGACTCAAAAGATCCATAACTAAATGCCAATTCCGTTTTCTTTGGGACAATGAACTGGTGAGAATAAAAACTGGAGAAGGAAGAAAAACCTATTTGATAGCATCTCTCATTAAGAGATTCAAAACTGATTCATACAGATACTGGAAACACATCAGATTCTGAGGAGGAGGGAAAGAAATAGCAATGGGAGACAAGAGAGAAGGGTAGGAAAACAAAGAGTCAGACCCTCTGACACATCTGAAGGACACAACCATGGGCTGCAACCGAGTTCCAAAGTTTTGCAAACAAAGCCAACCATGCCCTTACTGTACCCAAACTTAATGGATAGTCACTGTCGATACAGACAGCACTAAAGTCAGTGGTGAGAGTAATGATGGAGTTGAGCAGAAATGGGGTAGAGAGAACATGGAGAGTCGAAGGAAGCTGGAAGATGGGATCTTGTAACAGGTGCAGGAAAGGCTTGTGATAGATGGGAAACTAAAGAAGAAATGAAGGAAAGGAGCCAGATGAAGGTCTCAAAGATAAGAGACCAGTAAATGCACTTGAGAAAGTAGGGAATCCGACCCAGAGATAGATATTCCATTACTTGTGGATTCAATTCATGAAGACGACGATTTTGACAATTTTTTCCTCCAACTGCTTTTGCTGCATTTTCTCAATCCACTGCCGTTGATCTACCTCGACCTTCTTCAATATGGTTTCTCAAGTTTGTTATCTTTTGTCCCTTTTTCCTATGTCTTATGATTCTTCCTCTTCCCTTCTGCATTCTGGCCCTGCTACTGATTATTTTGTTTTCCCTCCTTCTCCTCATATTCAGGTCCACACTGATTAACTTCTCTCACATCCACCTTCATGCTGGAGCCAGCATACCTTGTCCTCCTCATTAGTATGTTTATATTATTCAGCTTTATTTCTCCATACATGATTGCTTTGTTGTTGGGACTTATTAGGTAAGGCTGCACACAGGACTCCAACACAATGCCGACACCTCCTCAACAGACCAAGAGGAGCCTGACACCATAGTTGTAGTTTTTCTATGGTGAATAAGACAATGAAGTAATAACATGAACCTGTGAGTTCATAATGTGGAAAGGAAGAAAAAGTAATCAAGACAAACTAGGCAACAAAAAACGTCAGAAAGTAAAGTGGAAAACATTAACCCACTGGCACAAGCAAAACAAATAAAAATATGAGTACTGTTATGTATATGCTTGTTTGATAATTTCCGGTAGAAATTCTTTCTGAGGAACTTCAGTGATACAAGTCCTTTCTTGATTAAACCAGTTTATTCTTTCTCGATACAACTTTTACACAGAATTTCCATAGTCACTTTAAACTTTAAACACACGCTACAAATCGCAGTGATTCACACACACTTTACTTATGGTGCCTACTGTTCACTTGACTCAATTATCTATTTCTTCAATCTATCTGCCCCGCTGGTTTTTATCGCCAGGCTTATATATTAAAAAAGAGGGCAGCTCGATCAGACTAGAGTTGCCGGGCAAATTCATGATCACAGCGTCATGCAACTTCCGCTGTCATAACAGTACCAAACCAAGAAGTGATGACTGAACAATCAGTGTTGAGGAAGTGAGCTGTGCTAGGAGGGTGTATTATGCTCTTATTGGTGGAGTGTTGTTACATTCTTATTTGCATGTTAGTGCAGCAGTTGCATGTGGAAACACAAGTTCAGGTGGGAGCCTCAAGGCTAGGGGTAAGCAAAAAAACATTGTGCATATAGAGGGCAGCACAAAATTGGGAAAAGCTAATATTTGAGAGGAGGTAAGGTATCCTATTAGAATTTGTTAGTTTCATCTGGTGGTCTGTAATAAATTCCAATTAAAAGTCTTCTACTCTTATAACCACTAACAGAAACCCAGATAGATTTAATCTTATTGCCATTAGCCTTGATATCATAAACTGGAACAGGCTGTAACCCACAGTTTACATATAAAGCCACATCTCTTTCTTTTTAACTATTCTATCCCTACTAACCTGCTTGCTGTGAACAAGTTAAAGAGAGCATGTCATGACCTTTTAGAGAGTTATTTTTAAAATTTTATTAAATAACATTCTATTACTTATGGGAATGGAATTGATATCAAAACATAGTTTATAATTAAAATTTTAATACTATATATGTTTTAATTTCTTAATTTAAAAGGGAATATACAGAAAAAATACTAAATATCGATTTGTGTTTGTCACATAGCACCTCCTGTTGTCTTAATGCTTAGTTTATATTTTATTATGCCTAACATACAGTGTACAGTGGTTAATGAATTAGAAACTCGAATTTGAGATACAGGTGAGCTAAAATATAAAATAAGAACCTTCCACCTCTTTGATTTGCTGAGATATCAATATATGTAGCCAATCTAGTAGAGTGGCGCCTCCCACTACTATATTCTTTTGAAACTTCTTGGCTAGTCCAACTAACTTCTTTAAACTAAGTGTTTACTACTAAGAGAAAGAGCGGTTTCCGGTGTGCATAAATCTGACAGTCATTTGTAAATAGTTTGAAAGAGAAAGTCATAATTTCTTCAAAACTGTTTAAAGTCATATTTAGCTTGTTTAGAAACTCAGATAAATTACAGGGGTTTTGAACTAATATAGTAAGTTGATAATTTTCTAAAATGTATATTTGAAGCCTACAAAAATTAATATTTCTTCACCCTTTATTTTATTTATTTTCATTTATTCTTCTATGAGTTAATAAGGATAACTAAAATTTAAGCATTTGTGAATAAATATTATTTATTGGTTGATGATTAGGTTTGTTGAAAGGGAAATAAGATTTTATAACCAAGCACACAAGTATTATCCTTGTATGCATATATTGAATTCAAAACATTCCAGAAGAATGACTAATACTCAAACACTTGTGATGTTTATTGGATTGGTTCTGAACCATATAATAAACATTTTCACAGATTGAAAGTGCAGTCTGATTATTCTGAGGAATTCTTATTGTAAGCACTGTAGGGTACATAAGCTGATGAATTCCATATTGTATTCTCAAAGTAGGGGTCAAATAGGCTTATTTCTAGCTTCTTCTCATTAACTTTGCATGGATTATTAACAAACAAATTTCATACAAATTATTGACATTGATTTTTCATAGATTGTTAACATCGACTTCACATCAATTATTGACATACCAACAGACATATTCCACATCATATAGTTTATATAAATACTTAAAGATAAACAAATGGGAGCAGTAGGAAGCATGCATAATCACAAGTCTTTTAGACAATATTTTATGCTCAGATTTTAAGAAAAGTTTTTAAAATCATAACATTATAAGTTTCATATTCCTATTTGACTTGAAATATGAATAATTATTGCAAGAGTATTAAATTGCTTTGGGACTCTTAGATAACATGATAATGATAGTGGCATTGGAAATTAGCTCATTTTTATGCCATTTGTCTTAAAAATTGAAGAAATTAGTTATTTGTATGTTGCAACATTAAAGATACTAAAAATTACTGGTTTTATTCTCTTCTAAAATATGTCAATAACCATATACATATTTATATGATTTGGTGACAACGAACACACTTTTTAGAAAATAAAGTTTGGAGATGAATGGGTAGTGAAAAAAAACTTTATTACAAATATACAATGTTTTGACAAGCTTATGTCATTAGGTTCATAAGCTTATCAATATGTAAATTTCTAATAAAGTTTCTTTCACTACCCATTCAAGCCATTTCCAAACTTTATTTTCTAAAAAAAGTGGGTTCCTTGTCATCAAGTCTTTTAAATATGTATAAAAATGTTTTGACAAGCTTACATCATCACATACATAAGCTTGGCAAAACATACATATGTGAAAAGGTTTCTTTCACTACCAATTCAAGCCATCTTCAAACTCTAAGTTTATATTTATATGATGTACAAATGCAGATTGTGACTTACTGTAGCTCTCCATTAATCTATTAATTTTTCAGTGTTATTAGAGTTGGTAAGAATTTTAATGCAGATAATAAACATTGTATTTTATTAGTTAGAGGATGGTCAGTTTATATAATTTGTGCTATGTGTTTAACCTCACTATATTGATTGTTTTAGAAGCTTAATTTGTTTCAGTGTAGAAACTTTGTGGTTCATATTTATTTACATCAGTTGTGCCAACTTTTTCAAATAATGTTTGTTGGTGCTGGATATATTTTTTGCACAGCTTCAGTGTTTAAAAGCCTTGCATTACAGCTAAATTCTTAAAGTTCTACAATTTGTCTTGTAGGCTTTGATGAAGAAACTAGATGGACTAGTACGAGATATTGAAAGTTTTAACAACAACATTGCAAAATTGGCAAAGCTAGGACAGGGGCTTGTGGAAAGAGGTCATTTTGATAGTGAAAATATTTTAAAAAAGCAAGTAGGTATTGTGAAGTATGAATTATACAAAATATGTATTTTCATTATGGAATATGATGATTAAGTCTGTGGATAAACTTTTCTTGTTCAGAAAAAATATATACAAATAATTATATATTTTTGGAATGATAGATTTTTCCTTGATAACTGTATTTAATGTCATGTGTTGTATTTATTTAATAACGTGTTATTTACTGTGAATAAAAAATTATGGTTTCATCAAATAACTGATTAGATATGTTCATAAATAATTTTTATTTATGAACAGGTGTCAGTTGAAGAAGAATACGAGCAACTACAAAAGCTTGCAGAGGAGAGAGATCAAAAACTTCAAGACAGTAGAAGATTCTTTATGTTTATGAGAGAAGCTGATGAAGTGGAAACTTGGATTCATGATCAGATGGTTATTGCAAGCTCTGAAGATGTTGGAAAGGACCTTGAACACATTGAAGTAAGTTCAAAATGCATTGTTGAAGGTATACAGTTGTTCAGGACAGAATTATTTAACGTTCAAAAATACAGCTCATGATAGTCTCACTGAAGACAATTATAGAAGGATATATTATTTTTAACTAAAAAAAAGCTGGTATGTTTCAGTACTTGCTATAGCAGTAAATATTTCTTTCAATAAACATGAAAAGATGTCAGGCTTAACTGTTATAATACTACAAAATTACAAACTGGTTTTTCTATGTGTGAAAGATATGTAGACACTTATGAAAATCTCAGAACATTAAAGAAAATAAAGAAGAGACCTGCAAAATATGTTACAAAATCTCACATTGGAAAACATGTAAATGAACTATTAGCACCTTGTTATTTCCTCAGATTTTGATCCAGAAGTTTGAAGGATTCCTAATCAGTCTTCATTCTAGCGAGGAACGTGTTGGTAAAGTTAAAAAAATGGCAGATCTTTTGATTGAACAAAATCATCCTCAAGTTGAAGAAATTCAAGCTCGAAGTTTTCAGGTTGCTCAACTATGGAAGGAGTTACAAGAATGCAGTGATGCTAGACAAGAGGTATGGTGAATTACCTCAAAACAAATCTTTCTGTGATATAATTTTTACTGGTTATCATTTTTATTAAATGTCTATATTATATAGAAGCCTCAAACCTTTTCAACAGGCAACTCTGATGTCATTATATGCCAAATGGATTATACTTGTAAGTTCTGTCTACTAGACATTTATCAAGTTTGTGCCTAGAAATAATCCAAAATAAAATAACCAATAAAATTATAATTTCGAAAATTATATCAAACCATCTAAAAAGCTTAAAATGAAGGTAAGTGTACATTTTGTGTAATGGTATGCTCTTAAGTTTATGTTTCAGATTATTTTTAATATCTTGATCTTATTTATCAAAATAATCACCATGTTATCGATAAGATTATAAAAAGTGTTTTGTCTGCTAAACTTTTTATAACTTGTATGATTCTGCCACACTGTTTCACCTTTCTTTTAAGAAAATGCAAGACCTCTTTGGTGAGCTCAGTTTTATACACAATCCTCAGAGGCTTAAGAAATGATATTTTATCCTTTAATGATTCTCTTTCTGATTTATATAATAGCACAAATCTCTCTTAATAGTTGAAATTGTTGGAAAACTTATGTAACCATATTCACTTAGGTTAGTTTTTTGATATTTCAGTACCAAACAACATTTTGAGTTTATAAATTCTAATTAGGATGAGTATCTTTATGAAGTTGTTTGATTCATGTGACCATCTGCAGTTATATTTCTTCAGCAAGAGATAAGATAAATTGTATTAAATAGCTGACACTTCATTAGTTGTTTTAAGAGTTATATTTTTAAAATTAATATGGTTGAATAATTTTGTAATATTACTTTTAACATTTTGTTTAATATTATAAAACAGAATCGTCCTTTTTATGATTTACAAGAACTTACAAAAAGCAACAAGTTAAACTTCAGACACAACTAAATGTGGAAAATATATAAGGGTTTTGGAAATTAGTTATTACAATGTTTAAAGTACTTTTATTTATAACTTTTTTAACTTATGACCTTCTGAGATTTACGTGGTTACATGGAAAAACTCATGTTTTTGGATTTGTTGACTTCATTTTGTGATTGAATGTTATTTGAGTAGCTTTAGAACTTATGTGGTTACACACGTTTTTGGAGTACACATTAACTTTAGGCAGCCTTCAAATATTGCTACATAAAGAACTGAATCTGTTGGCCTAGCTTGATTACGCTTCTGTTTGTGATGATCAAGATCATACGTAGTAAAATTGAGATACTGTCCTTTGTCTATATTTTCAATACAGTACTTACCTCTTCTCACAAGATTAGCTATTCTTGTTCAGTGCTGCCCTCTTTATGCAAACTTTTTCCTTACACATGCCACAAGCCTTGCACTCTCCCCTTGTTGGAATTACTATATTCCAACATGTCTCTCTCATGCAGATCATCATGTGTCATCTATTAACCAATAATAGCATGACATGCTCACGTGATGCATGTGACTCCCTCTACACTCCTCTACCAGACCTACACTTCTTGTTTGGGGAGGAGCCTGAGCAATATCAGGGGACAAAGGTTGACCAATGTAGCATTCAATCTCCACTATGATGTCACCCGCACCTGAGGCCTGAGAAAAACACTGGTCGTTGGTGTGACTTCTGAAGTGGTAGTGTGAACATCAGAATTCATAACTCAAGAAAATGTTTACAAATTGTCGAGTGCAGAAATATAGTGACAAGAATGAACTGGTCTATAAAAAAAAACTCAAAAGGAACCACTTTGTGCAAAAACAAAAAAATTGTTTGTCATACTGGAAGCAATAAGCACACAAAAGAAGATGTATGAACTCAAACACTGAGAGTTTGCCATTCCTTCCCAATTGCAACCTCAGGTATCACCTACACCTAATTCGGTCTTCACAGATTTTGTGTCTCAGATTTGTGATGTTTTATCTATTTTTCACCTCGTCTTTCCTTCAACCATGAGTCATCATTTCAACCATTTTGGTATTTCCTCCTTCCCCTGACATTTGGGTACATTTGTCTCACAATTAAGTAAGGGGATCAGCATGGCGTGCCCCTTGAGGACTTCTGATCAGTATGGCTTTTCTTACCATCGTGTAGACTATCCGTTTTTGGATTGTCAGTTGTTGGGTTCATTGTTACCTATTTGGGGGTGGCACCCAAATCTAATGTTAGTCTTACCCATGCCCAATATTCTCACCTTCATCTTACCCTAACTATGGAATCTTATCTTCCATACATCTCCTATCAGAAGCTCTCCACAGAAATCCTGAGGGGTTTTCTTCAGATACCCTTCACCTGCTCTCCTCAACATTAGCCCACATTTCATCCCCAGCTCTGGTGTTACATACATGGTTTCTTTGTTGTTGGGACTTTATAGGTAGGGATGCAATATTAGCTCAGGTTAATTTACCCTCAACATATCTCAGGGACTTATATTATGCACGTTTTCTCAGACATGATGTCTTTGATACAGTCCCAGAAACTATCAAGCCTCAGGTGATATTAGCCCACCAGCAATCCACCTTTACATCCTTTATAGCCCATTTGTCTCAGTCAGAGCCTCATACGCCACCTATTCCTGTTTCATGTTCTTCATCCACCCAACCCTTACCCATTCCTTCTAATCAGGGTACTTCTTTTCATCGATTTCCTTGATTACATAACACCCATCACCACTGGTATCAGTGACTACCCTGTAGGTTTGGGTCGAGTGGGAGCTCAACTGTTTGAGCTGCTTCCTCGCTGGCCTCCCTTCATCAATGATCAATGGGTAAATCAGGTTCTGTTAGAAGGATTTGTTATCCAGTTTCTTTCCACACCTACTGTTTCTTCTTTCCCTGTTTCCTTTCCTTCTCAAGATCCCAAGACCTGTTAGGGTCTGTCAGAGGCAGTTTGAGGTTTGCTTTTGCAGTGAGCAATCAAACTGGTCCACCATCCTTCCAGATGTTTTTATTCCTGTCTTTTCATTCACCCCAAGAAAACCAGGGATTGGCACCCAATCATCGATTTAGCTTCCCTCAATCACATCATCGCACTCCCCAAGTTCATTATGGAGTCTTTTCTCACCCTGAGATGGGCATTATCCCCAGGGTTGTGGATGACAAAAATGGATGTCTCCAATGCTTACCTCCACATCCCGAAAGCACATCCATCTCGGGGTGGTTTACCAATTTCTGGCTCTCCTTTTTGGACTTGCCTAAGCTCCTTATGTGTTTTTTTGCATAGTCTGGGCTTTTGCTCACCATCTTCATGCTCTGGGGATGCAATTTCATTATTTCATGGGCAACTGACTCATTCTGAGCAGCAATTGGCCACTCATACTCACCAACTCCTTTCTGTGGCACCTCTGGTCGGCTGGTTTATCAAATTGGAGAAGTCATTCATTTACCCACTCAGTATCTCGTCCATTTGGGGGTCTTTTTCGACATCAATATCAGTCATGCTCTGCCTTCTCCCTTGTGTCTTTGTTGCATAGAACTTTTAGTTCACCATGTCCTCTCGGCTCAGTCACTCACTGCTCACGAGATTCTATCGCTTTTGGGGATATGGTTCTCTATGACTGAACTGATCCCTCTTGGGTGTGCCCATAGGAGATCTTTGCAGTGGAACCTTGCTTGGGATTCTCTTTCCACCATCAGTTTCCTTCCTCCTTCCTTGCGGGACGATCTGCAATGGTGGCTGGACAAAACCCATACCTTGGCTGGCAGGCCATTTCTCCCCTGCATCTGGATCTACATCTTTACATGGATGCATCCCTTCAAGGATGATGGGCATGGGTCAATCACAAGGAAACTTTGGGCCGTTGGTCTGTGGACGAAACTGTCTTTCATATCAATGTTCTCAAAATTCTTGCAGTACTTCAGGCATTACATTACTTCCTTCTTCTTGCCCGTCATTGTCTGGTGATGGTTCATTCAGACAACTACTGTGGTGGCACATATCAACCACCAAGGGGGCACCCAGTCCAGAGATCTATGTTTTTGGATGTTGGATCTATTATACTGAGCCCATGCACATCACATTCATCTTATTGCATGACATGTGCCAGGTGCTCTCAATCTTGTCACAGATTGTCTTTTGCACCCAGATCGGATTTATCCAATGGAGTGGGCATTAAATCCTTTTGTTTTCAGGGGCCTTTGTCATCGATGGGGTTCTCCCCTATTGGATGTTTTGCCATGGGCCTCAATACCAAATTGCCCCTCTTTTGATCACCTGTACTGCACCCACCGGTTTTGGCAGTCGATGTTTTCAACCAAGATTGGTCACACAACTTCATGTGTACCCTTCAATCCGATTGCTTCATTGAGTGATTTCTCTTGTCTACTCTACTCCTTTTCGAGTCTTCCTGATGGCACCATATTGGCCAGTGCAACCTTTGTTTCCAAGGTTACAATGTCTGCTCCTATCACCACCTGTCCCTCTTACACTTTCTCCCTCCAATCTTTCTCAACCTTGATCCCACATTTGGCATCTCAATCTCCCATCCTACATTTTAATGTCTGGCTTTTGTTTGGTCCTTGGCAAGACAATTCGTTTTCACACATTGAGTCGCCTCCTTGTTAGCTAGTTCCTTATGGTCATATACCATGGAAGTATACCAGTACAAGTGGAAAGTCTTCTGCTATTGGTCCGCTAACAGGGAATTTCCTGCCGACAAGCCTTCTCTGGCTCATGTGGCAGAATTTCTCACCTGGCTTTTTGACTGTGGGTCTTTGGTTCATAGATATCCAGCTGCCCTTTCCCATACCTTCCGTTTTCCAGATACCATAGGGTTTTCACTTCCCCTGTTCTTACCTAGCTCATGCTTTCCTTCCAGATTTGGAGGTCTTCCAAGGTGCTCTGCCCTTCAGGATTGGGACATTAATGTGGTCCTTTACTTCCATTTGAAACACTTTCCTCATGCTCCTTATTCTATCTGTCCCTTAAAACATATTTCCATCTTCTCTTAGCCTGTGGACATCAACAGTATGATTTGTTTGTCATTGACATCTCACATATCATTTGTTACCATACTTTTCCTTTATCCCAACCATTCCTTTTTTCCTAAAACCTTGGCTGCTCGGGAGGGTTGTTCATTCTTTTCTCCTATTTTCCTTCCTTCTATATCCCACCTTTATCTTAGACCATATCTGAATAGGCTTTTGTGTCTGGTCAGGGCCCTTTGTTGTTATACAGCATGTACTGCTACTTTTTGGGGCCCACACAACCAGCTTTTTATACCCTGGCAATCCTAACTTTGTGATCTTTCACCTTCTACCCTTATGAATTGGGCCTGTCTTTTGGCTCATTTAGCCTACTCTTCCCTAACTTATTCCTCTCATACCTTGTTCCATGTTTCCTCCCATCAGATCTGACGTCTCACCTTTTTCCTTGTTTCTCATCTTCATCGTCCGATGAAGGAGATTCTATAATCCAGCATGTGGACCACTCCCAGTATGTTCATCTCCCATTATATTCATCATATTGCACTTTCTTCTGCATCAGGGTTTCTTCTACCACCTGTGGCCATTCTCCAGACTTTGGTGTGACTTTAACTAATAAGTTTTCTTATTATCAGGGGCCTTTGATCCCTTTTTATTACATGGATCCCACTCTGTGGCGAGTGATGCCTGATCAGGCACGTTTTAACTCTAAATCCATGCTGTCAGCCATGTTGACGACTCATGCTCTCTTGTCCATGACTTCACATGCTCACTGTTGAGATGGGGTGTTCCACAAGATTGCTTAACAATTAATTACCTTGTGATAATTTGCTTCATAACTTGCCCATTCCAGACCGTACCACCCATGGACTACATGGGTAAAGCATAAGGGGATTGCTGCCCAGCCCTGCCATGCCTGGAGTGAATAACTCAGTATGGTCTGCTTTTTAAAATACAGTTTCGTGGTCACCCATTGCACTGTCTCCTTATCACTTCCAATTCCAAGGTGGTTGACTATGGAGGCACCCTCCTGAATGCATTCCACAAGAAAAAGGTTAGAACCATTCAGTTGAGAGTAGGGCAGTGGTGTTCTGTTGGTGTAGATGTGATGTGGTCTCCAGAAGAGTTGAGCCTTCACTTTGCTGGTTGATGTGGCCTCCTGATCACATTTACTCTACAAACCTGGAGCTTAGCAGTCTTCTTACTGGATGATGTGGCCTCCTGACACCACAATCACTAGAGTTGAGCCCTCACCTTCATAGATGATGTGACCTCCTGCTAACACTTACACAACCACTGTAGTTAAACTGTCACCTTCTGGTTGACATGGCTTCCTGATAATATTTACACAACCAGGAGAGTTGAGCTGCCATCTTACTGGATGACGTGGCCTCATGATACACTTTACATAAACACTGGAGTTGAGCCGTCACAATTTCAGTTCACCCTCTTTGATTGGGAGACCTCATCCTACCTTCTCGTGAAAGACAGTTCCCAGCATAGAGGTTTTGGATTAGAGAGAACAAATCAATATAAGTCTTCACACAAGTTCGGGTCTCTTATCTTCCTCCCCCAATTGCTCCTTCTGTGTCTTTAGTCACAGCAGTAGTATATGGGATTGTTCCAGTGCTATCCTTGACTATCCCTCATTCTCTTCTTATGGAGATGTTATTGCCTTTGGATTAAGCTGGCTTGTTCCACGGTTGGGGGAGTTGATTCCATGTAATAGACACCCTTTTGATACCAGATGTCATTTCCCAGATTGGTAGATCAGTGATGATCCTCGTGCCATACCCAGAAATCGGTATGGATCTTAATCCCCAATTCTTTGATTTGAGGTGAAAACGGTATGATCCTCATCCTACCCTCACATGGTTGTTCATACCCCACAAGGAGGTTTTGGATGTAATTGACTTACCAAGTATGGTCCACCATGCCCTAGCCACTCTGCACCTCACAATTTCCACCATTGTGCATTACACAATTTACAAATGGTAAAGAGTATACCTGGCTCAGATGTGGTGTAGTTCCCCTCTCTGAATCTAGATCTCTCATTGTCAGGGGTATCCTTCGTATGCTTTCAGAGGTTCTTCTTTCATTTCCTCGCACTAGTCCCTCCTCCTTCTCAATATGGGATTCTAGCTAATCTTGTGATAGGAGGTATGTACCATATCGGAAGTTATAATTTTCCTATACTGAAAATGTATTTCCAATAAGTACCTACCTCCCCTCACTCTTCTCATCTGTCCTCCCCACTTCTCTGGTGCTCACACCTTCTGTGAAACTTCGAAGTGAAGATTCAGCAGAGGAGTGTAGAGGGAGTCACACTGGTTAAGAGATGATGCATGATGATTTGGATGAGAAACAGTAATTCCAACAAGGGGGGAGTGCAAGGCTTGTGGCATGTGTAAAGAAATATTTCACATATAGAGGGCAGCACTGAACTAGAATAGCTAATCTTGTGAGAGGAGTATAGGGAAATTATAACTTTTTACCAAAATAAGTATAATATAAATATAGCCATTACTAAAAGTGATTGTCAGATCTAAAAACATTGACAGAAAGAACTCTTGTATATTTTAGTAAAGTATTTATTTAGCTGAATCATGAAATGAACTACATCACCTTGACCAAGCCTTTATTTCATGAATACATAAATGATAAATCTATACTTGAAAAAAAGTGTTGCTTCCAAAATATATTATAAAGGATATTTCTAAATCATAAAAACATGTAGATTAGCATAACCAGGGAATTATTTTATGCCTGAAGCTGTGCTGATTTGTCCAAGCCTATTACCCTGGCTGTAGTTTAATTAGATTTGTAAATACAAACACACAGTGGATATTGTGTTAATCCATTTATGCATATATTTAATTAGATGATGAAGCACATGGCTATCTTAAGAGGTTCATAAATATAAGCGTTGGCACAGTCAGGGGCTATTTTTGTGCCAGAAGCTGTGTTTTTTATCTGATCTTAGAATATATTCTATAATCAAATTTGAAATAGTGATTTCTGAATACAAGATATCGTGGTTACTAAACATCTAATGCATTAATGGACTGAATGTGGTAAATTATTTGTAATTTTCCTAATTTTATGAATCCCCTGCTGCCATGAAGTCAGTGAATATGGTAACTTATTTTTTTTATATTAATATCATATCTGTTTGCTCAATGTTTTGTTGCATTTGCTCAGTGAGAAGTCAATTCAAGGGTTATTTTTAACTTTTCATGCAGTTTGATATTTTGTAGAACTCAAAATTTGTTTCCCACATTTTTATATGCAATGTATTTTAATCAGGCAGACTAATAAATTGTTTTTGGTTAAATTTACTTAATTTAGAATTTAAAGTGTATATTGTGAAGACATTTTTTGTATATTGGATGTAACTTCTCATTCTCTTTTTTTCTCTCACTAGGCCTTAGTTGGAGCTAAGGAAGTCCACACATTTGATCGTAGTGCTGATGAAACTATCAGCTGGATCAATGAGAAGGATACAACACTATCAACTGATGAATTTGGTCATGATTTGGAAAGTGTTCTAGCACTACTGCGTCGCCACGAAGGTTTTCAGGTGAGTTGTACTATGTAACATTTCTTGAATGATATGTTTTGTCTTTTCCTTGAAGTGTTTAAAGAATACATTTCTTTCACTTTCCAAGTGTTTTCTTTAACTTGAATAAACTTTTATCTTGTCCATCATAACATCTAAGAAAATATCACAGGTCATCTATATTCATAAATTCTTAAACATTTGGTTTGATCTCCTAGGTCACAAAGGTTGGTAATTCACATCCAGTAAAACCCAATTAATACTTAGTGCTTTCAGTTGTGGGCCTTTCTTCATCAGGAGCAAGGGCAGAAATATGATTCTGCTTTTCCTCTTAATGAAGAGAAGTCCAGTTATTGAAAATGCTAGGATTTTGTGAAACCATATTTTATTTTTAATTCTAAGCTACCAACTTACAAGGATACCATTGTACTTATTACACAACATTCAAAACATGTTTCCAATAACATTCTTCATGTAGAATGTAAACTGTGATGAAATATTGATGAATGAAATGAGTGCAACATTGTTACAGCCAAGCAGGTGAGCTTTCAGGAAAGTAGTAACTCTGTTGAATTGTAGGTGATCTAAAATGAAGAGAAATTGTATTTATGTCCAAATTGAGAGAACTTATAAAACTCGCCAAGAAAATATTCCATTTTTTTCACTTTCTAGAATATTCTTTGTCAGAGTGGTGACTAGGGGAAATAGCATAGTTTACACATTGTCTATAAATGTGTTTAGTCATTTTAATCAGTCAAAAAATCAGTACTTAGAATAACAAAATTTGATTACAATAATTAAGAAATGTTAATTGTATTTTATGACACTGTATCATTGATGGTAAATATGTTGCTTACACAGAGAGATCTAGCAGCTGTCAAAGAACAAGTTCAGTCTTTAGTGAAAGAAGCTCAGCGTCTTGCCAGTATATATCCTGATGCAAGGGAGCACATCAGTGCCAAACATGAAGAAGTAGCAGATGCTTGGAATCAACTCCTTGAAAAATCTGCCCAGAGGAAAGATAGGCTCCAACAAGCTGAGAAACTACAGGCCTACTATGATGAATATAGGATGTTGATGTAAGTGATGATAACCATTTTAAAGTAAGTAAGCTTTTTATCATAATGGCATACAAATAAAGTAAAAAAATGAAAAATCTAACTCTCCATTAAAGTTCAGAACTTAACTAGATTAAGTAAGACAGCTGTAAAGATTTTTATGAGCAACAAATAAAGCTTATATATCAATTATAGAATAAAAAAAAAACATTTTTTGTTGTTGTTTTATTGTCAATATTTTATTAGCATCCTATTTAGAGGAAAATTTTAAAGAACTGTTTTATGCTATAGAATTAATTTTCAAACTATATTTTGAAAGAAACTATAATGAAGTTTTGTGCTAAAGCAATAAATGAAATATATTGAATGACATTTACCTTCCACTGACTTGTGACAAATTTGTAAGAATTTACTCTGTCACTTGTACCAAAGGTCATGGATAAATGAGATGATGGCTCTGATAACAGCAGATGAGTTGGCTAAAGATGTGCCTGGAGCTGAAGCTCTGCTTACACGGCACAAAGAACACAAAGTTGAAATAGATGCAAGAATGGAACCTTGCTCTCGTTTCCAGGAAAAAGGTGAGGCTATCATCATTGCAGGACACTTCATGGCTGATGATGTCAGAGATCATATTGAGCAGCTGAAGAGTAACTTGAATCAGCTGATGGATACTTGGGAAAAAAGACAAGTTCTGTATGAGCAAAATCTTGATACACAGGTAGGCTGTTTCAAAATGCTTAACAATTGAAAAAATCTTTTTATAGAAAAATTACTAAAGAATTATCTTTAAATGAAAACATGGTTATAATTTCTAAATTTTTCTCTATGGTTTAAGACTAATGAATTAGCTGTAGGGCTTTGGAGTTTCAAGTAACATGTTTGAGCTAAATCAATTATTAGTCAGCTATTAAAAGTTATTTATTCACAGAAATTAAATTTTTAACAAGGTATTGATATTGTCTAGATTAACCCTATACAAACAAATGAGCAATTTTTAAAGTATCTAAAAAAATTTTTTTTCATAAAAGGGTGAGAAAGAGATTCTACTAATAAAACCAGAGAAAGAGAATGAAAACCTTGAAAATTATTTTTCATCTAATAAAATTTTCTTAAAAATCCATAACTGATTTGGAGCTGTGTAGAAATGTAAGGTTGACCTCTTTGCATGTGATGTAAAGAACTACTAATGAAACTCAGCATTGAAAAGAGCTAAATACCATTGGAAATTGGAGAAGACAAACTCTTTACATTGAAGTAGGGTAAATAAAGTGTTGTAAGAAGTAATTCTGATATGGTACATTACCTCCACTCACAGATATAGCTATTCTCGTTAGTGCTGCCCTCTATATGCAAAACATTTTTGCATACCACAAGCCTTGAGCTCCCACATACCCAACGATCAACATGCTTCAACTGTGTCTTTTCAGTCGTGTTTTTTTTAACTTTATGCAGTTTTTTAGGATTTTTTTCAGTGTTGATTGAACTGTTTTGTAATTTATTCTGAAATGCAATTGTTATTCTCGTTTTTCAAATGTTCGCAAACATAAGGAAAACTTACCTTTGTTCTAGCTTTTCATTTAGTTATTCAACTTTAATGATGAATTCCGAAGTCCAAGTTACCACTTTAGAGGTAATACCATCTTTCAGCACGCTTACACAGTTTGCAGGTGGGGGGAACTTGACTATGGAATTATTGGCTCTCAATCGACAAGAGATGGATTGTTATATGAGTCAACCTTCTTCTCCTGGTTTTTCCCATTTTCCTCCTGTTTGGGATGACAAGGAAGTTGACAGCCTTTTTTCTTCACCTGATTTTGCTGTATTTTCCTATGCCCCTACCGCGGAATCAGCTAGGCCTAATACAGCTTTTTAGGACATGAATTTTCAGGTGTGTTCTGTTTTATGAATTTCCACAATTTCTTATAACCCTCTTCCTTCCTTATTAATTATATTCCCTCTTCTCAGTATTTTGTGTTTCCCCCTCAACAGATATTAGGGTTCATGCATAGCATTTTGTACCTCAGACGTGTGAGGGCTTTGGATCAGTTTGTTTTTACCCACCATCAGGCTGAATTTCACTTTCTCGATTCTCAGTATCTAGGATCAATTTTACCCATTTCGGGGGTGAACCTGGATTATCCTGTTCGTTTAACCCATGCCCAATTTTCTCACCTTCATCTTTCCTTCATGTCTATCCTACAGTACTTGTCCACCATCCATCTCCTCTCTGATGTGATCTAACAAGATCCTAAGGGTTTTTGTGAGATATATTTGCCCTAATTACATCCATGTTGGCACGTTTGCAGACTTTGGCTCTTTCTTTGCACACGTGGTTCCTCTGTTGTTATTTTGGGGGGAAACGCCTTATTTTCCAAGTTTGTTTCCCACCTACTTATCTTAGGGACTTATGCTTAGCCCCTTTTCTCCATAGGTCAGTATTTGGCAATTTTCTGGCAACTTTGGAATCAGTGACACAACAATCGATTCTCTCCTTATTGGTTGATGTTTGTCTCACTTTGAGCCTCGACGATCCCCTGTTCCTTTTTCCTATCCTAATCCTTCCCATCCTTTACCTGTTACTTCCTTCAGGGGATCTTTCTCTTCATGTTATATTCAACGCAGAATGTCACGACACCTGCTGACTTTCCTATGGTACTTGTCAACCATACACCTCCTTTCCAAGGCACTTTACCGAGATTCTGAGGGTTTTCAAAGGATATCTTCCCACTGATTACCTCCACTTTAGCACATTTGTTTCCTTCAGCCCTTTTCTTACACACGTGGTTTCTCTATTGTAGGGATCTTCTGGGGAGAAACACTGTATTGTCCCAAGTTTGTTTACCATCTAATTATCTTCAGGGTTTATGTAGGGCCCCATTTCTCCAATATCTGTTTTTGGAGATATTCCAGAAACTTTAAAATCCCATGTGCAATCTGTGAGACAGTAAACAACCCATTCATCTTTGGTTGATTGTTTGTTTCATTCTGAGCCTAGACAATCCCCTCATACTATTTCTTGTCCTGATCCTTACTAGCCTTTACCAGTTCCTACCTCTAGGGGTTCCTCCACTCATTGTATTATTCAACAAAGACAGATACATAGCCAACAGAACCCTGTGGGGGTTCCCTTCACTGATGTTGTTCCCCCATGGCGCGATTTTTCCAATGATTTTTGGGTTATTTGGATATTATACGAGGAACTTATTATCCATTTCCTTTCCCCTCCTCTATTATATCGGGTACCCATAACCTTTCTGTTGCCTCGGGATGCTACCACCAGTCAATGTCTGTCAGAGGTGATACAGAATCTTCTCTCCCAGAAAGCCATCGAACATGTACCTCTTCCTTCTCCAGGTTTTTATTCCAGGCTGTTTGTGGTATCCACAAAAACCTGGGACTGGCAGCCTGTGATCAATCTGTCCCACCTCAAATCAATTTTTGGTTCTGCCTCGTTTACCATGAAGTCTTTTCTCACCCTCAGATGGGCTTTTCACCAGATCTATGCATGACCAAGATAGACATCTCGATTGCTTATTTGCATATTCCTATATCTCATCAGTCGAGGCACTATCTTTGGTTTGTTCATCAAGGGGTAGTGTAGCAATGTTGTGCCCTACCCTTTGGGCTTGCTTCAAACCCATATGTGTTTTGTCAAGTGGTCAAGGCTTTTGCCTAACATATTTATGCTCAGAGGTTGCACTTACACCATTACATGGATGACTGGCTTCTGTTAGCCTGTTCAAAACAGGAATCCACCCATCACGCTCATCTGCTTCTTTTGGAGGCAGCTCGTGTGGGTTCCTTATACCTACCCAATATCTTGTCCACTTGGATGTCTTTTTCAACACTCATCATAGCCAGACCCAACTATCTTCTCTTTGACTCCATTCGATGGAGCTTTTAGTTCTTTATGCCCATATTGCTCTCTCTATTACTGCTCACGAGATACTATCACTTTTAGGGATGTGGTTTTCTATAGAAATCCTTATCCCCTTGGGTCGAGTGCATATGAGGTCTCTTCAGTGGACTCTGCATAAAAAATGGAAACTTGCACAGGATCCCTAGGATGCTCCTATTTCTCCTCCTCTTTTCCTTGTTGACAATCTACATTGGTGGTTGGACAAAACCCACACGTCAGCATGTGTACCACTTCCTCCCCCTTGTCTGGATTTGCATATCTTCATAAACACTTCCCTCCATCACTGGGGGGCATGGATCAATCAGTAGGAAGTGTCAGGTCAGTTGTCTCTGGCCAAGAGGTCTTACCATATCAACATCCTGGAGCTTCTAGCTGTAAATCATGGTTGGGTTCATTTTCTTCATTTTACCAGGAACCATCTGGTCATGATCTATTCCATCAATTCTACAGTGGTAGCTTCTATTAATCACCAAGACATCACCTATTCTCATTCCCTTTGCAGTCGAACCATTTTGGGCCCAAATGCTCTGTATTCATCTCTTTGCATGTCATATTCCAGGTGCATTCAACCTTGTCGTGGATCATCTTTCCTGACCAAACATTTATTTGATGGAGTGGTTTCTTGATCCTCATGTTTTCCAATGGCTATGCTTTCGATGAGGTACTTCTCACCTGGATGCATTTGCCACCTCCCTCAATACCAAGTTACCTCTGTCTTGGTCTCTGGTTCCTCATTCACTTGCATTGATTGTCGATGCATTCACCCAGGACTGGACCAACAAATACCTTTATGTGTATCCTCCCATCCATTTATTTCCCAGGGTAATTTTGATCATCTATACCACTCCAAGTCCTTCTGATTGCTCCTTACCTGATACAACCATGGTTTCTACTGCTGCTCCAACTCCAATCTGCCCCACCATTACCTTTTTCTCATACTCTATCTTTTCTATGCCAACCTCTGTCACCAGCATCCCTTCCAGCCCTTCCTACCTTTCATCTTAATTCCTGGTTTTTACCCAGTCCTTGGTGAGGAGATCCAGATTGTCATGCCCTTCCTCTATGGATGTTTATCAACGTAAGTAGAATATTTTCTTAGTGTCTTCTTACCAGATTAGGCACCTAACTTTTGTTGGCATCTCATCTCCGTCATCAATCGAGCATGTGGATCACACTGCATTCATTCATCTCTCAGTATCTGCATCATATAGCTGTTTCTTCCTCATTAAGTTATCATCTTGCTCCTGTTGCCATTCTCCACACTTAAATGTGACTGTGACTGAGTAAGATATCTTTTTGTGTGAATATATATACATATACTTATATATATATATATATATACTTTCTTTTTTTTTCTAGGGGCAAGTCCTTCTTTTTCTTTATGGATTTTGCTCTGTGGTGAGTGGTGCCTGTCCAGGTCTACTTAAACTAGTCAAATCTGCCATGATGACTTAAGGATTATAATTTCAATAGCCACTAAATGCACACTGTTGAGATAGGGTGTTCCACAATATTTCTCGTAGGTTCTTCCTCACAATATCTTTGCTTCATTAATATGCCCATTCTAGACCATACTAACTCATGGATTTTATGAGTAAAACAGAAAAGGATAGCTGCCCATCCCTGCCATTTTTTTAAAGTGAATAATTCAGGAGTGGTCTGCTTTTTGAAATAGGGATTTTGTGGTCACTAGTTGCACTGTTTCCAGTGTTGGCATTCCTCTGGAATCTCAACTGTCTTCCCCTCCCTTTCTCTTCAAGTGGAGTATGGGAGTCCTTACCACTTTCTGGTTCCCAGCTCTTGGGTTGGTGGACCATGGAGGCATTCTCCAAAATATGATCGATATGTTTGATGCAAACAACACTGAATCCAGTCAGTGACTAGGGTGGTGGTATTCTGCTGGTGTAGATGACGAGATGTCCTCCAATATGACACTTCATTTCTGAACGAGTGTATCCAAGGGGATATTGTAGCTTTGGAGTGAGCCATCAAAATTGCAGTTCACCCCTTTGATTAAAACCCCTCATCCTACCCTCACATGGATGTTGGTTCCCAGTGGCTGGGTTTTGGATTTAGAACTGGACCAGTCAACATAAGCCTTTTCATATGTATTACAGGTGTCTCTGTTCCCTCACTCAATTAGACTCATGTTCACTGCTACTGTGTTGTGTGTCATGGTAGATTAACATGAAGGTTACTACAGTTCTTCCTCTTGCACTGTCCCTCAAAGATTTTCATACACCAGTGATGTTACTGTGCTGAGGGTGGTTTCTGTCTCTGTCTGATTGGTTTTGAGTAGGATATTTCACAATACAAGACATCTTTCTTTTTCCAACACTCTGGATGTTCAGTTCTCAGATTGGTCAAACATTTTATCACTTTGCTATCATGTGCCCTGTTCACAGATCTGTGAGTATATATCTCCTTCTGGTCTGCTGAATTTGAGGTGATAACACTACCCCTACCAGATGGCTAAGTTTTCGATTGCAGTTGACTTGCCACTGGTATGATCCTTTTTCCTACCCCTACGTGGATGTCGGTTCCCAGTTTCTGGGTTTTGGATGCAGATGATTTGCTGTGTATGGTCTGTTGCACCCTAGTCACTCAACACCTTAAGGCACTTCCTTTTTACTGTCCCCCACATTAATATCTTCAAAGGGATTGAGCTTCTGATATCTTGTGGTTCGAATTCTTATCCAAACATTGTTATTTCCCTTATAGATGTGCTTCCCCACATTTTCTGCCCATGTTTTCAACACTTCTTTACACACTCGGCGTAAGAGTATACCTGGTACAGAAGTGGTGTGGTCTCGCATGTAGGATCCTCTACTGCGAGGATTTCCCCTTTTTAGGTGTTCTTCGGACACTTTCGAAGGATGCTTCTTTCTTCCTCTCACATCTGTTTCTCCACCTATTCAATGTGGGATTCTGTGAGCATAGGTAATGTACCATATAAGAAGTTTTAATTTTCCTATACTGAAAATTAATTTCTAACAAGTACTTACCTCCTTTCACACTTCCTACCTTTCCTTCCACTGAAAACTGATGCTTCCATTTTCTGCTAAAACTCGAACTGATAGTTCAGTAGAATCAAATAGAGGGAGCCACATGTGTCAGGAAGCTGTGTTGCACTCCTATTGGTGGGTTGTCACATGATGATTTACATGTGAGATGCAGCTGAACCACATTGATCGTGGGGTACGTGGGAGTTTAAAGCTTGTGGTATGTGAAAACATTTTTGCATATGGAGGGTAGCACTGAATGAGAATAGTAGCTTTATCTGTGGGAAATACATTTTCAGCATAGGAAAATTATAACTTTATGGTTTTATGGGAAGTGATTAAATGTAGCCCTTGGCAGAGAAGTACAACATAATTGAATTGAAAGACTAAGGAACAAACCACAAATCTTGGAATTTTTTATAACTTCTTTACACATTCTTTTCATTTCTTAAAATGTTTATGCATTAAATTATATTTCGTTAAAAGCTATGGAAATGTTCTTCTATCACAAGACATTAGGTAAGCCTAGTTATGTTTAGAGAGTACATCAGGCAATGGCAAAGTATTCTAGTGACTCATATCCTTATCTGTTGAATATTATTGCTATATGTATTGTTTCCAAACAATGTACATAAGTAAAATACCTTACTTATTGAATAGAAACTGTATTTACTAGACAAAAATTAATCTTGAACAAGAATATTGCTAGCTGCCTAGCCTAACTTGATGCCATTATTACAGGTCATGTTATCAACATCACAGATTCAGTGAAGGGTTACTAGGGTGGTGACTTGGATGGAGGGGTTGTCATACGAAGAGAGGTTGAAATCTCTAAATTGTTTTCTATTGAAAAAAGAAGAGTAAGGGAGGATCTGATTGAGGTGTTTAAGAT